ATGCCATCTACTCACATGGTAGAGATCTAGAGGGTCACAGTTTGAGGCCAGCACAGGAAAGACCTCAAAGTTAGCAAGATCCCATTTCAGCAAATAAGCTAGGTGTAGTATTGAATGTCTGTAATCCAAACTATGTAAGAAGCATAGGTGTAAGAACTGTGGTTGCATCAGGCCCCATACAAGAATAAGAGACCTAATCTGAAAAATAACTATAGAAAAAATGGGGGAGGGGATGGCGATGTAGCTCAAGTAATAGCTTGCCTAGCAAGGGTGAGACTCTGAATTCAAGCCCCAATATTATCAAGAGAAATACTGCAAAAGAAATTATTTCCAACTTTGAATTACAGCCTCAACCAAACTACCAACCAAATGTGATGATAGAAGAGAAGTATTTTTAGATGTAATATATCTCTAAACTTTACTTCTTAGATGATTGAGGGAAGAACTCCAGCAAGATGAAGTAGCACTAAGAACCTAGAAAACGATATGCACCATAAAAGACTAGAAAGAGAAGTCATAGAAGTTCTGCAGCTGTGATGAGGGCAACTTAGAGCAGGCTTCAGATACCAGGTTGCCACACACACACACACACACACACACACACACACACACACACACACACACACACACACACACACACACAACCTGAACCTAAAAATTGACCTGATGTTTTTGAAAGATCATCAAATACCTATCAAGAATAAAGAGCCAGAAAAGAAAAAGTAAACTCAATTGTGAGTAACATTTATATAGTCATAATAAATTTTAAAAGAAACTGAATGAGATACTTACTGGGGTTGGTATCCATCACTATGACTAGCATGGCTAGTGTTCATGGCAGGTGTTTAGTCTTCAAGGTTGTCTATCCACTCTGGCCAATGGCAATGCCATATGAGTTGCTACAGATTTTCACCATTAGAAAATGGGGAGATAGGAAAGGGGACTAAGACATCAGTGAAGGATGCTGCAAGCTACCTGCCTGATATTCAACCCCTTTCCACTCTGATTTGATTTAGAAAAGCACTTGTGGCCAACTAAAACTAATCCCTTCTCCCAGGTGCTCTTCTGCTATTTCTGGCTAACGTGATAGACAGAAATTGGGAAAACAGCTCATCCCTGAACAAATCCTCCACAGAAGAAAACCCCTTTGCTTTTCCTCCCTATTCCTTGCTATGTATGATTTACTGATGTAACACATAAAAAGATAACTTGCTATACACTATGTGGGAAAATGAACTATGCAACTTGTGGGCAGGGACAGGAGGGGGAAACTGGGGGGAATCAAGAGAAAGGGTGACACTGTCCAAAAAAAATTGTACTCATGGACTGGGAAAGGTGGCTCAGTGGTAGAGCGCTTGCCTTGCATGCCTGAGGCCCTGGGTTCAATTCCTCAGCACCATATAAGCAAAAAGAAAAAAGCCGCAAGTGGTGGTAGAGCACTAGCCTTGAGCTGAAGAGCTGAGGGACAGCACCCAGGCCCAGAGTTCAGGTCCCACGACAGGACCCAAAAAAAAAAATTGTACTCATTATCTGACTTATAAAACAGTAACCCCCTGGTACAACACTTTAATAATAACAATAACATTATATATATATATATTTTTTTTTTTTTGGCGGTTGTGGGGCTTGAATTCTGGGCCTGGGCGCTGTCCCTCAGCTCTTCAGCTCAAGGTGAGTGCTCTACCACTTGAGCCACAGCGTCACTTCTGGTTTTCTGGTGGTTAATTGGAGATAGAAGTCTCACGGTCTCTTCTGCCCAGGCTGGCTTTGAACCGCGATCCTCAGATCTCAGCCTCCTGAGTAGCTAGGATTACAGGCGTGAGCCACCGGCGCCCGGCCAATAACATTATATTTTTAAAAAGATAACATGCCCAGTTGAATTTGAATTTGAGATAAACATAATTTTTAGTGTAAGTATGAGTTAGTAGAAGTTGTAGCCTATGTAATTTTGTGGATATATTTACACTAGAAAAACTATATTTATTGATTTCTAAAACTCAAAATTTAACTAGGTAGAGTATATTTTATTGGGTAACTCAATCATTGGTATAGATGTGATGTCTGAAAGCATAGAAGCTCTCTTGTCATAGTCTGGTTGGAATGTTTAATTATAAATGTTCTCTTCCAGAGATGTTGTGATCTCACCCTTTACATTTCTCCATTGCTCCTGGTTAACTGGTACCTATCATTTTCCAATCAGGGACCCTGAGAAAACCTGATATCTTCTAGGGAATGAGGAGTCAAAGTCAGTCTTTACTTCTTGCTGGTAGGGGGCACTGGCCTAGTAGACCTGCAACTTTTAAACTATTACAGGAAAGTGTAAGAAAACACTTCAAGACATAAGACAAAAATTTTCTAAATAAGATTCCTACAGCTCAGGAAATAACAGTAAAAACTGACAAGTGAGATTGCATCCAATTTATAAAGCTGCAAAGTAAAGAAAATAATTATCAGAATAAACAGACAATCTACAGAATAGCAGAAAAACTTTGACAGTTAT